AATACTTGAGGAACACAAACTAATCCGCTTCTGACACGAAACTGTACTAAACTAATGTAGAAAAGAATTTGTCTACATATTTTTGTCTCTCATAAAAAAGTGCTTATATTCAGACTTGTATTGTGTTGATTGCAGATAATGTAAAAACAAGGAATTTAGTTTGTCTACTAATATCGCATTTGTTTATGGAGCAATGAAGTATGAATTCGTTTTCTAAAGGTATTTAGGTAAATATTCATATTTGTCTATATATTTTGTCCATTACTTACCGATTTATTCAATACATAAATAATAATCTAAAGAAGAAAACTGTCTTTTCTACTTAATTCAAATCTTACGTAAATTTTGCGATACCCTTTTTACAGGAAATTGTAAGATATTATAATAACTGCTCTTGTGCTCTCGTTAGTTGCAAATATTCTACATGAATTCATTTTCAGTTATGATTTTTTTGTAAGGAAGCAGAGTGTCCCTTCAAGAGTGATTGATTTAACAAGGAATAGGAAATCAAGTTGGATTCGAAACCCTTCATGAGTAACAAAAAGTATGAAAAGTTACACGTATTGTTCCTGCTCATTGTAATCTTTGTTGTCCTTTTTTGCTCTCCAACTCGAACAACCTTAAACTTTTGTTAAAACCAGCTACGATATAAAGACAGTAAAAACCATTTTTCTATAATGAGTGGTTTTTGGGGTTTTCGCTTGACCTTCTGACTCGACCACTTATGACCGCCTGACATCATCTATGAAAATATACCCAGATGTAGAGTTTCAAACTCTTTACGAATATACTATCGAAATAGTGGTTACTTATTGAATGCATAAAGTTGGCCTCCAAGTAATCTCCGATGTCACTATCTAGGTCAAATTAGAGGTCAGAAATAATTTCCTTTTTTTAATCTCATCAGACTTTTATCGAAACCGTTTTGCCACAATTTTGAGGTGTTCGAATATTTAGTAGAACTAATAGCAGTTCCTGGAACGTCCAAATTACGAGTAGGTCCAATTTGGGTCGGTAGGTGCCGTCCCCAAATGGGATGTCCTTGGAATGTTCCAGTGGGGAACTATTTTACAAGTTCTTTCCAGGAAATATAGTGCAGTTACGATATAGATCGATACTGTTAAAATTCCATCGTTGTTTATAATGGTTATAATTATTTCACTTTTATATAGTCTCGTTTACATTAAAATGTTTATGCGAATAATATTTAGTTTTAAAACTGCCTATAAGGTAATAATAGGTTATTGCCTCTGAGGGCATCGAGAAAAGGGATATTGTAAAAGCTTTTATTATCAAAAAATAAAATAGATTTCTCTATAACATCTCAGCATGGATCACCATTATTTTTCAATAATGTAGAACTATTATTTACGATTGATTTGTTGTAAAACACATTTTTAAAACGTTTACGTCTTTTTGATCATAGATTCAATAGAACTTAAGGGACGTTTTGGTAATATGCAAGGAAATTACAATACTTAATTTGGCAACTAGCGAATTTTGATGTTTTTGCAAGTTCACTCTAATCCAAGGTAAGCATTATTTTGCTTAACGGTTCATATGATTCCTGACGATTTTGAAAATGGAGATTGTGTTCGAGAAAAAGATTACATGATACGCTGGCGTTATGAAGGATTGAGAAGCGGCCATAATAAAAGTCTACATGAATAAACTTTAGATTATTTTTGTTACTGTAACGTTTTCTGTTATATTTGTATATACAGTGTGTCTCAAATTCGCTTCTCTATACAGGGATCTCGGCTTATGTTATACCTACAGCAAATGTTAAATGGGAAAAGTTTTAGAGAAAACTGAGTGCATTCGATAGCCTACTTCAGATTTTCGATTGGTGAATTGGTTTTGGAAATATCGACGAAAAACCGAAAATGTCGAATTTTGTTTTTTGTCAGTAAATCCGAAACGGTTAATTTGTAAGCTGTCAAAATGTGACGTTATTCGGACATTTTGTCAACGCAAATAAGATAGCGTATATGATATGTCTCAATCGCCTTTTCTTTTCCCACAACCTGCCTCAACTTTTATTTTTCTTATGGCCGCCATATAGGATTTCCAGCCTAGTGATGTTTCACAAGTGCCTAAAAGTTTGGAGTATCATCGAAATATCACAAGTAATTTTATGCATTATTTTTTCTCTAAGGAGGCCATGATTTTACCAGAAAATAAAATTAATAAGCAACGCATTTTTTTCATCTAAGCAGGCTATGACTTTAATTTTAAGTAATTCAAAGTATTAAAATTGTGTTGTAATAAGTAGTAGATACGTTTTCTCTCATCAGAATCATAAATCTGACAAAAAAATTGTCAAAACCTGTTGAAAACGGCCGGTATTCCCTACTCAAATGAAGAAAAGTTTGACATGTTAGCGCTGTACTTGTAGTCACACAGAAACGTTGACATTACCTCAGCAAGGTACGGAGATGTACCCCGATCGACGGCAGCCTCATAAAACCCAATTTAGAAAAATAATAGTTAATTTAATAAACCATGGAACCTTCGAACAACGTAGACACCGATACAATATTGAAAATGAAAATCGCGACAGAAACATTTTACAAAGTGTCAACGAAATGCCTAGTGCATCAGTAAGAACTATAGAACGAGAAATTGGTGTGTCAAAATAAATAGTATAGAGAGGGTTAAATAAGCATAAGTACCATCCATACAAACCTACAGTAGTTCAAAGACTTAAAGAAACTGATTTTCCACGGCGAATGCGCTTCTGTATACTAGGAAGTCTAATGAAAATGCCGATTTTGTAAATCATGCCTTGTGGTCTGATGAGAGTAGGTTTAAGAATTGTGGAGTTTTTAATTAGCACAACACTCCTCATTGGGCTGTGAAAAACCCTCACGAAGTAGCAGAGAGACGTCTACAGACCAGATTTGGAACTAACGTTTGGTGTGGAGTCATTGGTAATTTAATCTAACTTACCTTTTTTAATTGGGCACCCATTTGAAATTAGGTATTAATCATTCCAGGAAATCGACTTATAGGACCATTTTTGTTTGACTACAACCTACATGGACAAAGGTACCTAGATATTTTGCAAAACCAGTTTGTGCCGGCTTTACGAGCTAGTCCAACCGTGATGAGTTTTGAAGAATCTGGTTTCAACAGGATGGATGTCGGGCTTACAACACCATTCAAGCCAGGAAGTTTTTAAGAGAGCAGTTTGATGAAAGAATAATTTCATTAAATATTTCAATATCTCGGCCTCCTAGATCCCTGACCTTTCACCATTGTATTTCTACCTCTGGGGTCACACAAAGAATAAGGTCTATGAATTTGATCCTCCCGTGACCATAGAAATCCTGAGACAAAGAATTTTGATCACAGTTAGAAACATTAACAGAAATACACTACCTACGAAACACAGTCACCAATTGTCAAAAATGTCTGGATGCAAATGGATGTTATTTTGCACATCTGTAAATTAATACCCACTTACAGAATTAGATTTTACATTACATTACAATTTTGTAAAATGTTTTTTTGTTCAAGTGTAAAATAAATTTACAACGATTTTTCTGACTTGTTTTTTTAACATACTTATAGTTGGGAATTTGTCACATTTGACTTGTTGAGAAGTCGATATTAACGCTAATATTCCATTGAAAATTCAAAGCATTTATGTGTTTTTTATGCCTTACTCATTTATGTTATTTTCTGACAAATAAATTATGGCCTCCTGAGAAAAAAAACTAATATTCAAAAATAAAAACATCCAATATGGCGGCCATAAGATAAATGAAAGTTGGGGCGGGTTGCTGGAAAACAAAAGACGATTGAGACATGTCTACATGCTATCTTATTTTTCTTAAAAAATGTCCGAATAATGTCACATTTTGATACCTGTCAAACTAACCGTTTTGGATTTACTGGCAAAAACAAATTCCGCCATTTTCGGTTTTTCGCCGATATTTCCAAAACCAATAGACCGATCGTATATCTGAAGCTGGATATCGAATGCATTAAGTTTCCTCTAAAACTTCTCCAATTTAAACTTCGCTGTAGGTATAACAGAAGCCGAGATCCCGGTATAAAGAAGCGTATGTGTCATGTTCTTAATTAGAATTTTCTTTTCCAGCTTGCAGATATCTAGAAGTTCAATAACTTCGGCGTGAAGTTGACACACATTTGGATTGTTTAATATTGCCTTAAAATTGTTTAATTTGTAAAGAGAAAAATACAATCTTCTAAAAATATGACTTCAAAATACTTTGTATTAAATTTTTACATTCTAATTCCTCCCCGCCCCCGCTTCACAGGTATACGGCAATGGCAGGGCCAGTTCATTAATTTCTCGAACATGAAGCGGCGACCTCCCTGTTAAACCAATTTTTTCAGACAAAATTGGTTCCAGGGTCGTCCCTTGCGACTCTTATTTGTGCTACTAAGGGATTAGTTAATCCTTTCTTCGATTGTAGCTATTCTAGAAAAAACTGCAACTAGGTTCTAAATAATTTGTTAATGAAAATGATGAAAATTAGAAGTTAGATAGTGTGATAAGGAATTACAGTTAGTTTGCGAAAAGAGTACATAACAATAGATACAAAATAAAAACCACAACCATAAATAAGCGTCAATAACCAAGCAAGAAATGCTACACTAAAAATCGGTGCAAACAGTGCAACATACAGAAATAAACTGAAAATATTTACCTCTAAATCTGCATCCAATGGAACACTTAAATGTGGGTTTACACGAAAATTTATATATTTTAGTGATATTATCTACATTTGAAAACATGAAAAAATAAGTACAAAAACAATGCAAAATTTTGAACATATAATCGAACTTGAATAGTTTACTAAAAAAGCGTACATTGAAGAATCCAAATAGGAACAATTTTTTTAATGCACTAATTTTCGATATCGAGGCATTAAAAATATAGAAAATTTCACGTATACCCACTAGAACTGACAACACAAGGTGCTTCATAAAAAAATAAAAACCAGACCAAAAATAAAACAAAAATATGAAAAAAATAAAACAAATTTATTGATGAAAAATTTCGTGATTTATACACACATGCACCTAGTCCTAGATTATGATAGATGATAAAGTCGAAATTCATATAATATTACTATAAACATATTTCTTGGGAAATTCGTAGTACAAAAATTGCACCTAAAGGTATTGTGATAACCTCTAATATTAATCGATTAATAGTTAAAATCTGTACAAACATAATAGTTAATAATCAAAATTAGCACTCTAACATATCGTAAATAATATATATGACGCCTTTATTCTTCTCCAGTAATAAATATAATATTGATGAGGTCAAATATGAAAAATTACAGCAGCATATTTATACATATCATTCTGATTATTCTATCCGATTCAATGTATTAGTCAGTTTTTTTCTATATGATTTCAATTCATTACAAAATTTTATACTGCAAACTCAACTTTAAGAATACTCTGATGTACTAAAGTTGAAATTTCGCTATATTCGATAACCATTCTTCATATATTCTCAATTTTCCCATCTGACCTCGCAAATCATAATTACAATTTTTGATTCCTTCTCAGAAATAAATATATGAATAAAGAAATAAATAAAAACCAACTTCACAAAACCATTGAAAAGAAGTGATTATACTAGCGAAAATTTCGGACGAACTATTAGATAAAATATAAAATGACACAACATAAAAACTTAAAATCCTCAAAATGGTTTTGCGGAGGGCATAAAAAGGGAAAAGTCGCTTCGTTGAGTTGTGTAAAGTGGTACCGTGCAAGTTTAGTTTTGGTATAAAAATTATTTGTCAACAAGTCTAATAGGGAGTATATCAATCATCTTGATTTTTTGTCAATGAACATATCATCAATATCTATTCTTACACAGTTCCATCCTAAACAACAGTATGTGTTCGCAAAGTGTCTAAAAATTGAACCATCTCAGGCAACATCAAAACCATCACAATTTACATTTAAACGTAAACTATGTGGTGACAAGGAAGCACCCTTACTTCGTAGAGCTCAGTCTAACATCTATTCATTAAGTTCGGGGATACTGTATGAATTCCTGTGTTGGCAAATTGTATTGTAGTTTGATATAACTACATAGTAGTACCAGCATACATTATGGCCACACAATATCGTAATTGAACATGCAAAGTATTGATGAGGTCAAATTGGCAGTGATGAAAGATAAGTAGCAAAATGGAAGAGAGTAGCATAAGTCACAGTACGCAGTGTGTCATTAGCCTTGTTCGTGTTTTACATACTATCGCAGAAACGCACGGGTATTACGTAAAAATCTTATAAAACGTCAAAAAACATAAAAATGTCATCTTGCAGACTAGATAGTTTTTAGGGTGTAAACAGTCATTCCACGTTAGCTCATTAGGATCGTTATGAGCGTCCATCTATGGAAGAATGGTTCAACTACACGCATTGTTGGTTGCATATGTTTCGTAAAGCCGAGTAGTCTGTAGTTTTCATCACTGAGAAGAAAGTTCGTTGAATAGCAAGATCGTATTTGGACGATTGTGTGTATTAAATATTAAATATTATAAATATATACATATTAAATACCAATATAATGTCAAAAAAATCGCCATAATGCCACTTTTTAAGATACGTAATACCCGTGCAGTTCTGATTAGGAATTCATCAAGTCAAGTAGCTTGATATATTTATAAATTACTTTACAATAATATTACTTGAAACATTAATGCTTACCTTAACTTGATTTTTTTATTGCTTTACTTGACTTTAGGTTAAGCATTTTCAAACTGCTTGATACTTGATGGCGAATTATATCTTTATTGTACCAAACGTCTTCAGTGATATTTATTAATTTGTATAACCGATGAACCGCATTTTTTCTTTTAATGCAAATGATTGCGACTGGCGGAAAAGACATGAAAATGTATTCCTAAATCTAGTTTCGATGGCAAGAAATTTTTTGTGTATCAGCTGATGAAGAAATGCTTTTTTTACTATTTACGTTTACAGTGTTTTATTTTGTTATAAAATTATTTTGTTCAATATGTATTGTTTTTGCTGTAACTTGTCACAAAGTCTTTCCGTTGTTTATTTATAACTTACTCTACAAAAATTATCAAGTAATTTCAAGACTACTTCAAGTAGCTTAAAACCAAGTCAATAAGTGACTCGCTAGTTTTGATCCTGCGCAGTTGGTTTTTGACACGTTAGAACTGCTTTGTGATTGGCGACTGGTCGAATCGGAACGATTCTGGGATACGTCTCTGTATAACCCGAACTTGGCAAAAAGTACACTGCGGCTACAGTGTCGTACGACGCGTTACCTTATTCTCTTCCATTTAGTTATCTGACTATATGTTATTATCTTTATACTACATTCTTCCTTGTTAATTTTGTGCAACTTGGATTTCAACGCTGAAAAATCAATTTGAATTATACATATCTTTCGCTTTAGAAAGATCAATTTTAATACCAGTGCAACGACAATTCTCGTCGTAGAATCTAAATTTTCAGTAAAATCGTCAGTCGTTCCTAAAATTATTGTAGGACGCCTTTTTGGCCTGCTTGATTATTAGTTTTTCCTGTCCTTCAGAAAGGTAGAGGTATTTCTAGATTTCTACTGTTCGGTAGCGCTCTATTTTGAGGTTATGTCACAAATATCTACTTGCATAAAATTGTTCATGCTTGATTCTTATCTGTCATATATAATATATACAAATCAAAATCATGAACAATTTGATGCAAATAGATATTTGTGACATAACCTCAAAATAAAGCGCTGATACGGAACAGTAGAAAACTATGAAAGTCAAGTAGGCCATAAAGGCAATTGTAGGTCGTTTTTGATTTATATCCTCTGTTATATCGGCCTGAAATGTCTTGCAATTCAAAAAGAAACAGCCTCACAATAGGAGAGCGCTGACGCTGACACAGAACAGTAGACATCTAGAAATACCCCAGCCTTTCTGAAGTGAAGGAGAGAAAAGACTATAAAAATCAAGGACGCCTTCATGGCCCCCTCGATTTTGATAGTTTTCTACTCTTCCGTGTCAACGCTCTATTTTGAGTTTATGTTACAAATATATTTGCATCAAATTGTTCATGCTTTTGATTTATATCATCTGTTACATTGCCTGAAATTTTCTAGAATACATAAAGAAAACATAGCCTCACAATGGAGAGCGCTGCCAGTAGTAATCTAGAAATATCCCAGCCTTTCTGAAGGAGAGGAAAGACTATGAAAATCAAGGAGGCCATAAAGGATGTTCTACAACCGTAGGAATGACTGACGATACGGTCCTAAGTCACTAGGTTAGACTGAGTTCTACAAAAGCAGCTTTCTACGTTCACATCAACCTAACACTGTCCGCTAAAAAAGAAATAAAAAAGGGGGATATCGACATATACATAGCACATAGCACCAGGCAAAAACATACTTAATACAGAAGAAGAGAGCACTGTTTAAACCCGACTTGTTTAAAACACTCTGTCTTCTAGCATTCCACTCTCATACTATTCTACCTGACTAGGAAATTTTGCAAAAAAACTGCACGTCCGTCAATATATGAATAATATATGATGTAAAAAATACACATTTAGCACCTAAACACACGTCAATTCCGTAGAATTTCTTGCTTAATTCAGTTGGTATGCCTGAAGTAGCTCAAACGAATCTCAGCGTCTTAAGAGCTAGACGCTTGTAATATCGAAAAGAAGTGAATCGGTCATTTTAAAATCAACTAAGTCATATTTTTTTTCAATATGCTTTTTACTGAAACCGCTGGGTAGATGCATATTCTGGTTATAAACCACGTAAGTCAATACATTTCTTCTTCTTCGAATAATCATAACAAGTTTGTTTGTTTATTTAGCATGATTGCTGCAATTCTAGTAAAAAAGTAATATAACACAAATATTTAGAAAAAAGCAAAATTTGCATCTCTAAGAATTTTCACTGTCTATGAAATATTCCTTTAATGTTCTTTTAAACACCTTTAAATTATAAGTAGACTTTATATCATTATTTAGTTTATTAAATCCAAGTAATCCTTGCTGAAATAGTGACTTGATAATTATATTACTATTGGAATTTTGTAAATAAAAAATTTCTTCTTGTAAAATAATTGTGGTAATGATTATTCAATTCTATGTAGTGTATTTTCTTGGAATATGTACCTATAAAAGTAATTCGTTTTTTGTCAATTCTTGAACTAATGTATTTATAGTGATCCTCAAACTTTCAGTATGTATACCTAAATATTTAATTGATTTAACATTTTCAATTATTTCATCATTTATCCTAACTGTGATAGTATTTTCATTTAGGTCTTTCCCTATCAGCATACATTTTGTTCTAGAGGTATTCAATTTTAGTTTATTTACATAAAACCAATTTATGATTCTGGCAAGTCAGAATTTAGCATTTTTAAAGCAGTATCTATATTTTCATCTGTGTATATTAATGTATCATCTGCAAATATCTGAATGTTTCAATAATCTAAAATATTACAAATGTCATTAATGTATAAAATAAATAATAGTGGACCTAGTTTACTACCTTGTGGTATACCAACAGAAATACTTTTTGAGCTTGATAATATAGATCCAATTTTGGTATTTTGACTTCTGTCAATTAAGTAGTTTTACAGAATTTTGAATACAGATCCTTTAAATACGTAGTGATGCAATTTTGTAAGTAATTTATCCCTGTCAATAGTCTCAAAGTCCAAAAACACTGTTACTGTATGTTTCCTATTGTCCTAACAACTTGTTTATTTGTGAATGACACAGTTTTTATTGATTTCCGAAAAATTCACATCGTGATCATTAGGGTTTTTGGAATGGCCGATTCAATTCCTTTGGGTTACATCTTGCATTATGAATTATTATTAACAAAGATTTAAGCAAGAAGTAGGATGTGTCCAGAGCCTTGAATATCACAGAGATACTGTATTTTGAGAATGAACAAAACATTCAAAAGTAATGTGACTACAGTCCTTTCACTGAAACAAAGCAGTTACGGCATATTTAGTAAATTTGAATGCCAACCTTAATGCAAAATAGATCCTAAATTGATACGTACAGTTTGAAATTTCCGGGTACATTTATGTTGGTAACAATTTTCTATGTTGTGACATTTGACCGTTTGTAGTTTATTTTCGTTCTTTTGGCCTCAGTATTCGCATTGTTATTTTATAGAAACAGATTTGTTCAAAAATTTGAGGTGTCCTTTGAAGCATCGATGGTAAGGCATCACAGGCATAGATTTTGTAAAACGCCCTAGGATCTATTAGTTTTAATTAATGTGGCAAACATGTGCGTCACTGTCATTATTTGACGTTGTGACATAACTGCTTTGACTCAGTGAACATACTGTATGTATTAATGTTCCAAACTTTTATTTATTTTCAACGCCAATATTGACGGTGAAAATCTTGTAACTGCAACGAAATACAGTATCTTCTGTTTCCATTTCACATGTGTGTATTTACTATAGCTAAGTAACAAATTGATATAAAACTCTTAATCACTTTAAGTTCATTTTAAGGAAAACGAACTGCAAATATTCTACACCTAAGGTTTTGAACTGGGACCATTTTTTTAGAGTGACACTGAAAATTCTCATTGCAGGGAAAGGTTGGATTTAGTCGCTCAGTAACACAAAGAAGAATAATATGAAGAACGCCATGAATTATAATAAAACATTAGTACCATGATGTTAACCGTGATACTCATAGTCAGTTTTCTTTGTCGTACTTAAAGATGACGGAGTAAGGCATCAAAGAGTCTTAAGAACCGAATACACAAGAACCTATTTTCTACTCAAAATAATGTTTTTTTTTTAAAGTTACTCAAAGCCTTATCGTCAGTCGTTCCTACAATTGTAGGACGCCTTAATTGCCTCCTTGTCAGCGCTCTATTTTGAGGTTATGTTACAAATGCCCATTTGCATCAAACTGTTCATGCTTTTGATTTATATCATGTTATATAGCCTGAAATTTCCTACAATTCAAAAAGAAAACATAGCCTCACAATATGAAATCGCTGGGGCTGCACGGAACAGTAGAAACCTAGAAATACCTCAGCCTTTCTGTAGGAGAGAAAATACTTTAAAAATCAAGAAGGCCATAAAGGTGTCCTACAATTATTGTAGGACGCCTTTATGGCCTCCTTGATTTTCGTTTTCTCTTCTTCAGAAAGGCTGGGGAATTCCAAGATTTATACTGTCCGCGCTCGCCATTTTGAGACTACTTTTTCTTTTTGTTGTAGGAAATTTCAGGCTAATATAACAGATGATATAAATCAAAAGCATGAACAATCTGATGTAAATAAATATTTGCAATATAATCTCAAAATAGAGCGCTGACACGGAACAGTAAAAAACTATGAAAATCAAGAAGGCCATAAAGGCGTCTTACATTTTGTTGTAGAAACGACTGACGATACGGCCCTTAGTTTCTCGTCTGAAAGATGAAGATTTAAGATAAAATAGCATTGGACGTGCTCTTTCAGAATTTCCACCTCTTATCATATTGGAAAAATGAACCCAAAAATAGTTTTTAATTATTCATTATTCTTCCGGATCTTTCTACTGTAAAAGTAGTTATATTAAAATTAAAGAAAATTAGTATTTTTATGGGGGTACATTGATTCTTTGATCGGTTTTACTTGAAATATTTTGGGAAAGATCTGAAGATTACTGAGCCCATATACGTATTATTTTCACGTAGCCCTTTAGAATTTTTACTTTGTCGTTTGCCACGCCCTATTGGAAAAATGGCGACCATAAAGGTGTTTTGTAAATGTTTTCACAATATTTTCACTTCCAGTTTCTTAGCACTACGACAAAGGCAGAGAAAAGTACCAGTAGTTTTTGAGTTGCTTCCAAATCCAACCTTTCCCCGTTCTTCCACCGCCCCCTAGCTTAGTCTCTCTTTCATTTAATCGTTGTTACGCCCTTAGGGGTGACTTACCATTATGCGCCTGCAGCTCCAGCCTGAGCCCACTACTAGCGGTAGGAACAACCGCAGGGGGCCCCGTGGTGGTCTCGTTGATGGCCACAGGTGTCTCCGGCGAATCGGGCGGCCGGCTGCCCACGAAACTGCTCTCCAGCCAGCACAGGCGGCTCGTGCTGCCACGTGGGCTGCCCCCATCTGAGTCTTGTTGTGAGCTGGGCGGGTGTAACCCGCTGACGTAGTGCACGATAGCTGACGTCACTTCCTTGATCGACGTTTGGATTTCGGGGCTGGGTTGCGGAGGCACCGGGTGAGATACTGGAATTAAAAAGGGGACTGTTTTTTGCTATTTCTACTTCCTACGCCAACTGGCAAAAATTTAGAAAGAGACATGTTTTTGGATGTTATACAAGGTTTGTAAATTAAGTGATGAGACTGGCAATGGAGCGCTCGATCTGGCAACAATGGATGCGCTGGGCTTGGAAGGCAGATAGGGGAACATGTGAGCCGCCTTCAGTACAAGTTTGAACTCGCTCGAATCATTTGGTTGTCCGTAGCGATTTTTCTGTGAAACAATTTTTCCTATTATCAGATACTTCAATTTCGAGCAACGCTGTGCTTCATTCAGACTTGGGCACAGTGAGAGAGTCGGCTGAAGACGAACCACGAAGCAGAACGTCTTCATATTCATCTTCAATAATCGATGAAAATATCGGAAGAATCCGGGATCTTGTGCGTTCAGCTCCTCCGTTGAGTTAGAAAGATCAGGGAAGAGTTAAATTTGACTCACACCACCGTTCATCAGGTCAAGAACAACTGGGTGTTGCGTAAGGATAATGCTTCTTGTCACACAGCAATGACAGTAAACGAGTTTTTGGCCAGCAAAAGGAATTCAGCCTAATCATTTGCCTGACTCGAGTCCTTGTGACTTTTTTCTCTTCCCGAAGTTGAAATATCACCTCAAGGGAACTCATTTTGGGACAGTCGAACATGTTCATACCGCTTGCGCTGTAAAGCTATTCCAGTATCGGATTTCCGGCTCTGCTATGAGGAACCGCCTTCAGCGGTGCGTTGCTTTAGAAGGAAGTTATTTTGAGGCTGACAATATAAAATTCTAATTATATTTGAATAGAAAATTCGAAAAATCAATCTCGTCACCCAATTTACAAACCTCGTACTTTACGAATATTTGGGTATTGGGAGTCCGTATCACTTTCTGCGTTCTGCGATGATTTTATAAATGTTGACTCAACTGTTTTTATATGTACGATTATATTTTTCTGAACTTTTATGATCCCAAAAAGTACCACTCGTTTCGCATGGCCTTCAATTTGTGTTACTCAGTCTAGGGTGATTGTCTGCATATTTCGTCAAGTAGATTGAGTCAGTACTTATGACGCATCGATGTACAACAGATACGGACTGACAAACCGACATAAATGAGAAACACGAACTTGTGTGATGCAGGTATCTTTAAGCAAAAGAAAACTTATGAACCGAAGTTTAATACTTTCATCGTTTAGGTACTCGTAGATTTTGAAAATTAATGATGGAAAAAAATTGCTGTAACAACGTTTCAGATTATTATTAGAATTATTATATGATCTATAACGACCGAAATCTCATAATAAATATATAGTAAGGAGATTTATGATGTCCTAATAACAAAAACTGAAAATTCTGTTCAATGACATTGTTACTTATAAATGTTTGCATATCATCCTATATCTGCTGAAAACAGGACAGGATTTTAATCGCAGATTTTCACGCAACCTAATGACTTGTTTTCTTAAGACTTTTCTGAGTGTGCTAATACGAAGTTTTGCTCATTTTTACGAAAAAGAAAGTGCGAAAAATTAACGTGACCCTGCCACCTAAGTAGTTTCGCCAAACGCGGCACTACCGGCCCCTTCGTACGGCAGCAGAAAACAACAATTTTCCGGCACTCGGAGCGTCAGTGTTCGCTTCTACAGGGTGGCCATTTGTAACCGACTGGTTTGTATCTTGAATATCTGTGAAATGAAATAAAATACGTCCATTTTTTCATCTTAATATTTTATTGAAACTTAGCAAATGATGAGCCCACTTGATTACATTTTCCATAATTTTTTGGTAGGTTTCGGAAGGAATATTTTCAATCGCTTCCGTAATATTGTTCTTCAGCTGTTATACAGAATTTTGTTTGTTGGCATTAGCTCTATTTTTCAAAAATCTCCATAAAAAAAGTCAGAATCCGGTGACGTTGGTGGCCGGATGACATCATCAAATCAAGAAATTAAACGTCCCGGAAATATTGTTCGCAAAATATTCACTGTTTCCCTAGCTGTGTGACAATTGCTCCAGCCTGCTGGAGCCACATGTTTGGCAGGTTACATTGTTGGATTTGAGGGGCCAGAAAGTTTTGCATCATATCACGGTAGCGCTCGCCAAAGCGACTTCAATGAAGTAAGGTCCAATGACACCTCCTTACCAAACACCGCACTCAACGAGGATGTAGTGTTTCTTAATGGATCACACGAGAGTTCTCTAACGCCCAGTTCTTGAGAACGATGTCAAGGCACTTCACTACACTTTCACCAACTCTCTCGATATTTTTCGGAGTACGAATAGGTCGTACACGACCCGACCTTGCCAAGACTTTAACTTCACCTGTTTGTTCAAATTTCCACACTGATGAATGGTGTTGACACTGGGCACACTATTTCGACCAAAATCTTATCGTAGCTTCCGAATTGTTGCCACAATCGACTTAGTATTTAATTAAAACGTTTTAACAATACGGACGCATTGTGGGATCGTGTAGCACTCCATGATGAATTGGACACATATGATTTAAACAGCTACTACGGCGCCACCTATTGAAATGCTTGTATCAAAAAATGGCGCGCAATTTAAATCAGTCAGTTATACAGGGTGACTTTGAAGTTGAGTCATTAATTTTCAGATAATGATTGTAGAAGGAAGATAAACCAAAATATGTGTGTAAAAATAAAAAATAAAAATTAAAAAAATGTTACCTTGTTTTATAAAGTATCCTCCCGACAAGTATTTCAGTGCGGACCTGTGTTTGATCGTGCGGTCTTGGAGCACCGGCATGCCCTCCCCTCACCAGCCCTTTGTACTGAATTAACAAACGCACGAGGGGTTGGTTGCACTCTATTGGGAAACCGATCCGCATAAATCCGTGATGCCGCGGCAGCATTTTGTAAAGACTCCCCCCCGTAAATAAGAAACATGTCCACAAGTTCAGCATTTTCGTAAACATGTGCCATTTTTTATTTCGATTGAGCCACACAACAAACACCACTATTCACTCACGCGTTACCGACTGACACATTGACTGAATACAACTGAATAAAATTGTAGTAAAAACATCGTGATAAGCGTTTCAAATTCTTTCGCTTTTTTGTTTCCGATGCGATGAACCGATAAGGCGGATTATATCCGTTGTTGCCAAATACGAGCACATAATATTATTATTGAGACAGGGCGGTACTCAAACTTCTAAAGGGCTATAAGTTTGTTACTTTAATTTTACCAGAAAAATGTTAAAGGAAAAAACATTTCTTTTGATCAGATCTACTCCCTGTTAAAATAAATGACTCAACTTCGAAGTCACCCTGTATATTGGCCACCCTGTACAAAGCCAAACAAGAAAATGCTACCAGCATAAGTTGCTGCGACCATAACCAACCGTATACAACGTTGTTTCAAGCTTATTTCAAGGTATTTTTTCTTACCTGCATTTTGGCTGTTGAGCAATGAACTGGCCAACCTTTCGGCAGGCGTTCGCGGCCTATTCAGTCTTTCTTGCGACCTCCAGCCCAAATAAGGCTGTCTGTAGCTGAAGCTTGACCTGACGGAGGACGGCGATATGCTGCCATTCGGTTGTCTGGTGTTGAAACTACTCCTGGTTGACGCGCACGGCGAAGATGCCGTTGAGTTCAGTTTCGATGTTGACCACCTGCAAGAAAAACGGTGTCAAGTAGACTGAATCCGTACTTCTAGTATCTCCATATGTGTGGAAAGTATGAGAAAATTATTTAGATACTGGTTGATTAAACGCGTCAGTCTTTTGAACAGTTGTTCCTCGATGTCCCGATCTCGAGCTACATATTTGAATATTATTCGGACTTCTTATATTTGTCTCCTCTGTACATTAGTTTCAAGAAACCGGAAGACGGACAGTCGCATCATTCCCTAGCATGCTTATAGGCAACACCCAAGAAGAAGACGAAAGACGATGCAAATTTTAACTGCTTGATGTGCTTTTTATTTACGCATATTCAAAAAAATGGATGACGATAAATATTACATTGGAACATAGTCAAGTGGTGACAATTTTAATGAATCTGTTTCAAGCATTTAATTGATAATGTTAACATTATATTCCTTCAATTTCAAGTCAATTATTAGTTTATTGTTGTTAAAATTCCGCAAAAATTCCTTTCTCTACTACTGTAGCAGAACATGCTTCCTATAATAGCAAAATGCTGAATTGTTGCAACTCTAAAAAAGACAAAACTTCGTACTATTTCTTTAAAATGTTTCAGACAGCTAGTCATCTCTTGTTAAATCTGCCATCTCGTTTTAAAATTTTTTAAAAAAGATTTACAGTATGCCAAAAAAATTAATTATCTCAAATTCCACGTCTAGCGTACGGAAACTTGAAAAGTTTGAATTTTAATTCAATTAAAGTTATGTTTACGACAGCAAGTCATGTAATAGGTGATATCGATGTGATTCAAATATAGGTTCTTTAATCTTATTTACAGTCTATATTGATACAGATAGCCACCTTCAATCTTGTTTTATACTGAAGTGCTATAAAATTACGAGTACTAATTAACAAGAAATGGCAAGGAAATTGTGACTTGTGACCAGCCAACCCTTTGCTGATTTGAAATGCCAGTGCTTTGATCTCACTGTCACTGGTGTCAACCTGTCAGTGTGATGTTTGATCACATCGATAGAATATTGGCAGGGGTATTACGTGAAAAACCTAAAAAACGTATGGAAAAAACAACATATCTTGCTGACTAGGTAGTCTTTAGTGTGCGAATAGTTAATTCCACGTTTGCTCGCTATGATCGCTGCGAGCGTCATGAAAAGCGTCCATCTATGGAGGAATGACACAATGAGAAGATGTGAAAGAAAGAAAGTTGGTTGAATAGCAAGATCGCATCTGGATGATTGTGTGCATTGGTCTGCATGTGTATAAAATCAGTAAAATTTGCTATTTGAGAAAATCATTACTGAATATGCTGAAAATGAAGTATATCTATTAGCTGTGCCCGATATGTTGTTCTTTCAGAAGACAGGTTATGTTCAAAGTTATCAATTACAATTTTTTTCAAAAACTTTGTGGAGAATTACGGGAAATCACCACCACGCTCTCGTTGTATGTAATTACTGTCAGCATGTATATGACAGTGTACAGTGAATATATACTAAATGACATATACATCCGAACACCCAGTTTAAATGGTTTTATTTTAATAAAATTTTGTAGTACTTAATGAAGCATAATAACTAAATGATAAAAATTTCAAAATGATTGCACTGCTTTAAAGCCCTTTGACCTTTAATAATGTGTGGATGCACCCTGATGTGCTACGCATTCTCCAACGCGCCTAGGCATGCTTCTGATCAGGTGGTCAATGTCCTCCTGTGGTATCTCATTCCAGGCAACCATCAACTCCTCTCGAAGTGCTTCTAGAGTCTGAGGAGGACGTTGCAAATTGAGCAATCTCCTACCCATCATATTCCACACGTGCTCAATTGGGGATAAGTCGGGAGATCTTGGTGGCCATGGTAACAATGTGACATCATTATGTTGAAAGAAGTCTATTGTGACTCTTGCAACATGTGGTCGGGCATTATTTTGTTGGAAAGTTGGATCTGCCAGGGTGTCAAGATAGGGTAAAAGATGGGGTTCTAGAACTTCGTGGATATAACGCTGCGCGTTCATGTTACCTCTGATGAAGATTAAAGGTGACCTGGAACCATAAGCTATAGTACCCCAAACCATAACTCCAACAGTGTGATGATCAGTCGCCGTGCGCTGTGCGGGTTCCGAGTCCCGTCCCAGGAGAAATTTTTCTCTTGGCTATGGATGTTGTGATTGTCCGTAGGTGGTAGATGGTCTCTGACTATCGAACGCGGAGGTACCACCCGGCGGTTCTCGTAGGCGGAGCCAGAATGTGTGCATGTTGCATGCACACGTGTTCTCTCGCCAGAGTCCGTGTGGCGTCCCCCCCCCCTCTCCCATGTATCCCCCAATAGCCCCACGGTACCCAATGGGTGCTTAGGCCTTAGGCCTTCGTGGTAGTTGGAATATATAAAAAAAAAGAACATGTCTTTCAACAAAAAACTGTGGATTCCTCCTTTCACCACGTCGCCTTCTAACCCTGGCACGACCATCGTGCATGCCTAAACAAAATCGACACTCGTCACTAAAGACAATACTGTTCCATTCCTGATCCCAGAGTGACCGCTGTCTGCACCACTCAAGGCGATTACGTCGGTGTTCTCGAGTTAAAGGGAGGACCCAGTGTGGCCGGTATGAAAACAAGCCAAAACTTCTCATTCGTCGGTAAATACTTCGCATGCCAATAGGTCTTCCGTGTTCTGCAAACCATTCATTAGCAATGGACCTGGTAGTGGAGAAACGGTCCCTTAAGGCCAATAATCTTAGGCGGCGATCTTCACGGTCTGTTGTTCTACGGCAGCGTCCAGTGCCCCTTGCTCTTTGCGTACGGCCTTCTCGAAGCCATGCCTGACAACATCTAACCACAGTGTCTACACTTCTTTGCACTCTAACTGCAATTGCCCGAAAAGAAGGTCCAGCTTCCCGAAGTCCCACTATACGGCCCCTATCAAACTCACTAAGTTGACGAAATCGTACAGGTCTCCGTACTCTAGGCATCGTAACCGATCGTAAAGGATGTCAAGAACCAAAATCCGCCAACGTTGATTCTTTACTGCGGCTGAAATATTCATTTTTAGAGCGTTAGTGAATTAAAAAAAAGCAGTATAAAAACCGGAATGTCCAACTGATAAGACTGAAAATTTTTCCCTTTTTATTTACAGTAAGATAAATACATTCACCAACTTTTATTAAAATAAAACCATTTAAACTGGGTGTTCGGATTTATATGTCACTTAGTATAATTATTTAATATCTCTCATTTTTGAAATTCAGCAAATTTCATGACGTACAGGCAACACGTACAACTAGAAAACGAGTTTACAAAAGTGCTAAGTTAACATCTTGTAGAAAAACCTACATAATGTAAAAAAAACAGTATAATGTCAATAAATCGATATAACGTCACTTTTCAAGTTACGTAATACCCGTGCCGGTTGGTTTTACAACTTTCAGGCGTACTTTAGATCATAGTCATATTTAGTTCTTGAGATGTAGCCTTCTCAAGTGCAATCAACTATGACTGAAAGTGGTTCATAGTGTTATAGACTTATTTTCTCTAAAAGATAAGTGGAAAAAAGATGAACAATATTTGTAGTTAAAGGTAAATAAAAACTAATCATATTTTTCCGTTCTTCATACATGCAATTGAAACTAAATGATATAATATAGAACATTGATAGCAAATCATGAAACCAAAATTCCAATCAAGTGACACATTAAGACGTCACGGCGAAGCGCGCCAAAAATGCCGCGGTTAAGGCGGCTCCGACGCTGTGAGTTTCAAGCCATTTACAAGGGTTCAGCTGCTTCAAAACTGACACTCCATTTTTCAATATTTTTGAATGAAATTCATTCAGTATATTGAGAAGATAATTGCCTAGGGTGCTATAGGAGCACTTTTTGAAATTTCGTTTTTGCTGAAGTTTTATGATGGGTTGAAGTGCGCACTTTTTCTGTTCAACTTCGCGATTTTTTTAAAATGAACCTAGTGAAAAAAATGAAAAAGTGGCTCTACAGCACCCTGTGGGGTTTTGTTTTCAGCACTCTGTGAAAATTTCATCCAAAAATATCAAAAAATAAAGCGTCAATTTTGAAGCGCGAAAACCTCTACAAATCGTATTTTGGACGAATTTTGTCTACTGTTTCGTGCTGCCAAACCAAGCGTTGCGACGCTCGTTCTGCAAATAGGTACTCATAATCGTGAATGCTGATACTCCTCGATTTTCAAGCCGTTTTACTTCCCACGTCATTGGCGAGGAAGTATTGTAATCGCGAAATATTTCTAAAATGAGATGTTATGTTTTTTAAGTCATATGACATCTACATCACGAAAAACTGTATCACTTATCATCAACTTGAAAGTTACCGCTCGGATTTTTATGAAATTTCCACACGCGGTTACTAGTATGCCAAAGCTTTGTAGTTTTAGTCCAGTGGCAACGGTGCTATAGGCAAAAAAGAAAAAGTAACAATTGCTGAAATAACGTTTTTGACGTTTCAGGGGTTCCTAATCATTGACATAAAAAATTGTACTGCTTAAAAAGGGGGGGGGGGGTTGAAATCAGTGAAACACGTTCTATTACTAAGTAGCTTCTGATCCCAGTGATTACAGGAAATTTAAGTATCGAAAATACAACGAATAATGTGCTCACGATTTAAAAAAATCGGTACCTGCTGTATAGGTTTTTGACACTAACAGCCAACAGATCTGCAACTACCGACAGCAGGGAAGAATAAATTCGTATATCACTCCAGTCAAGTATAGGGGAATTTAGCGTGGAACTTTAAGATTATCGATATGCCAAGGAAATATGTTTTTGAGAACGATCATTTGGTAGATTTTATACCTGCATTTTCATTTGAATTTCATAACCCGTGAAATGTACCCATTTCGCCGTTACTTTTTGTGTACTGCAGCTTGTGATGTTTTTCTGAATATAAGTAGGCCATAATTGCCTAGGGTGCTTGTCAGAGCTTTTTACAAAATTTTGTCTTTGCGCAAGAATTCTGGTGGGTTGAAATGCTCAATATTTGTGCTTAACTTCTTGATATTTTAAAAAGATCCTAGTGGATAAAATCGAAAAAGTGGATCGCTGGCACTCTATGGACTTTGTTTTTAGCACGCTGCAAGAGTTTCATTTGGAAATAATAAAAAGTAAGCTGTGAAGTGCAAATCGGTTTTGGGCGAAATTCATCTACTGTGTCGTCCTGCCAGTCCAAGCGACGCGACGGTGCGTTCCGACTAAGAAAAAATGTATTCAAATAACTTTATATCTTGCCTAAAATAAATTCAAAAACTCAAATTCTAATTCCTTTATTTATGTCAATAAACACAATTATGTTTACAACGGTCGTGTGGTAGATGGTAAAAATTGAACGAGGGTCATAAAAATATCTTATGCCCTCAAAATAAGAGGAAACAGTTAGGTAGTTTTTGCAAAGCAATAAACAGGTAGACTTATACCTGGCTTAAGTACATGTCTTGTCTACTGTAATAGGTACATGGAGGTGATGCTGCCAGAAATGGATGTGTGCGATCAATAAACAAATCACAAGATTGAACTGCCGTGTCCAATGATTTTTGTATTGCCTTTTTTTATTGCCTTACTAGAAAACTCAGTTGGGTATATGATCGAGTTTACTAGAACTTTACAGCTTGTTGTCTGCCTTCTTCTACAAACTTCACCAAATCGAGACGCTGTCAACCGTATCCTCCGATGAAGACGCCACAAAGCACAGTCCTGTGATTTGGTGTCTTGTTCGATATGCAAAATCTCGTCGTCACTTTTTCTAAGTTTCCCTAAAAATTCTTGCTGAGCAACCTCCAAATCAATGTCGTTCATGTGAGGTTTTCGACAGAATTCGCCATTATATATTTTCTTTGGAATTGCTATCCGAATTGATAGTTATTTTTATATCAAGTTTTTTGGTCTGAGTTTCTTTCCAAGATTCTTGCGTTTGAGTCTTTGTTCCATCTTAGTGATAAGCGAGGACTAAGCTTAGAGCGCAAATGTATTTGGACCACATAGACAGGCCGCTCGGTATTGTGGCTCACTACAGCTGCAGCACATCTTCCATGGTATGACCTCTTCTTGCAATAATTTATTCGCTTATCCCAATGTATTTTGCGATTATAGAGTTGAACTGCTCCACACTATTGTTGTACTCATCATGAATTAAACTGACTATCAACCTTGATAAAAAATTCACTCAAGAACAATCACACCAACAAGAGTACAACACAACAATTCAACAACATAATATCGAGGAACAGTAACAAGGGTAGAACAATACTAAATGATCACTAGCTGAGTACCAAAATAGGAAACGAATTACAGGCTAGATCGCTAATCGAAATCCGACTCTGTTATTATAAAAATTTACCTGGGTAGGCACCCGCAGTCATCCTTTCCTCTTTTAATGTAGCGCCGACCACCGTCTAAGACCAGCCCACAATCGTTTCCTTTTCACCCTCCCTAATTTTTTCAGTCTCGAGAAACACTTGCGATGAAGCTGTGAACCAAACCCGGTTACTTTTGTCTCCCATATCTCACAACAACGAAACATAAACTAGGACTACAATTTCCACCACACTTCAATCCTGCACGCCGAGGAAAAATTTTGTCCAATTACCTTTGCCTTATTAAGAAGTTTTGGAGTGGTTATTTCTTACCTGACGAAAGGCTGATTGCAAGGCGTTGGGCTGAGCACCACCGGCGACTGCGTGTTGGAACCTAGACTACTGAGCGATGTGGTTTTGCTGCCTGTGGTGGCGGTGCCCGTCCATCGGGTTTCCCTGGAGATGTTTTTCTTCAGGAGGAACCCTTCGCGCGGCACCTGCGACTGCCGGTACCACTCGGGCACCGTCAGCTTCTGAAGGGATCGCTGCACGCGCAACTGGTGCTCAGACATGACGCGCTCGCCTTTCTGCAGTTCATTTTCTGGGGGCTGGAAGAAAAAAACGATAATCAGTAAATTGACACTCACAAAGCAGCATCTAGTAGGATCTTTTGAAAAATAAAATGTCAGACTAATTTACAATAAGATACCCGGCCCCGAAAATAAATAAAACTTGAAGTTGATCGCAGCATGAAATGAAGTTAGCGTTATTCATTATTATAAAGTGAGCAGCAAGTGAACCTTGAAACTTATCATCTGATTATCACTGATCAACAGCCAAGAAATATCCAAAATAAAATCAACAAAATATTACTATTTTTAATGTGCTAAAACCGGAATGAAACTTACTTTTTCATTATTAGTTCAGGTTTTAGAGATACGGTAATTATATATGTTCCTGCTGTGACAGTGTTAATATACTGTAATTCACAAGAATGCACGTGCTACATTTTTATATTCGGCAAGGAAAGATGATGTAATCGGCATGATTGTGTTACGTTATACATACGTGTACATTATATTATTTTATATTAGCCATTTTTTCCTCAGTTGGCTGACAGCGTTCATGCAAGATGTCTCGAAAGTGTGTAAACAATCCAGATCAGTTTTGTTACGTGTGTGGTGATGTGACTTTTGCGCCTCAGTGACGGTCTATTACTCCACTAATAACAAAGGCATATCAGCTTTATTTCGGTTGTAAACTAGGTGATCAAGACAAACAGTGGGCACCCCACATCTGCTGTAATACATGTGCTTCAAGTCTGAGGAGCTGGTTAAATGGCAAAAAACGGTCTATGCGCTTTGCTGTCCCAATGGTTTGGAGAGAGCCTACAAATCATATTAATGATTGTTACTTTTGCATGGTACCTTGTGTTGGACAAGCCACAAGTATGTCCAAGAAAAAAAATCGGTTATTACCTACCCAAACATACCATCTGCGATGAGACCTGTGCCTCACAGTGACGAAAATCCTATTCCAAAACCCCCAGAATCCTACACTTGCGAATCAGAAAATGAATCAGATCATGGCGATCGAGTGATTCATCAGGAAGAAGATATGCCATCAACGTCAAGAGATCCTGATTTTATACCGAGCACGTCATGCCACCAACCGCACAAAATAACACAGTCAGAATTAAATGATCTTGTAAGAGATTTAGAACTTCCAAAATGTAAGGCAGAGTTACTTGGATCAAGACTGCAGCAGTGGAACTTGTTAGAAGATGATATTTCGGTATGTGTTTTTCGTAAACGCCACAAAGACTTAGAACCATTTTTCAATATGGAGAATAACTTGGTTTTCTGCAGTAACATTAACGGCTTACTGGCGGTTTTAAATATAAACTATAACCCAGAAGAATGGAGATTGTTTATAGACAGTTCAACATTGAGTTTAAAGGTAGTGTTATTGCATATTGGAAATATTTTACTACCTCTTCCTGTAGGGTATGCAGTTCACATGAAAGAATCATATGACAATATGAAGTACCTATTGACATGCATAAAATACGATGAGCAGCAATGGCATATTTGTGGCGATTTGAAAGTTGTTGCACCTTCACTTGGGCTGCAGCTAGGCTACACAAAGTTTTGCTGTTTTTTGTGTGAATGGGACAGTCGGGCAAACGCACTTCATTACACCAGACAAAACTGGCCTATTCGTCAATTCCTAGAGCCAGGTCAAAAAAATGTACAGCATATGCCATTAGTAGATTCGAAAAAAAATTTATTACCACCACTGCATATCAAGTTGGGCCTAATGAAAAACTTTGTCAAGGCATTAGACAGAGATGGGTCAGCTTTTCAATACCTGCGTCAGCAATTTCCAAGACTAAGTGAGGCAAAGGTTAAAGAAGGTATTTTTGTTGGGCCACAGATTCGAAATATTTTGAAAGATACACAGTTTGAAAACGCTTTAACAGGTATTGAAAAAACTGCTTGGAATGATTTCCGTCTGGTGGTCACTAATTTCTTGGGAAATAGAAAAGCTGACAACTATAAAACCCTTGTCAAAAATATGCTGTCATCGTATCAAAAGATGCGCTGTAATATGTCTCTTAAGATACATTTCCTACACTCACACCTGGACTTTTTTCCTGACAATTGCGGAGCCGTAAGTGATGAGCACGGCGAACGTTTTCATCAGGATATTTCAACAATGGAAAAAAGGTACCAGGGAAAGTGGAATCCTTCCATGCTTGCAGACTACTGTTGGACTCTTGGTAGAGATGCTCCAGAAACGATCCATAAAAGAACAGCAAAAAGACAGCGCATATAGTGATTCTTATAAGTATATGAATCTTGTTACTTTTTTAAATATATCCTTAAAAATAAAAAGTTTTTTTTCTAAACCGCAACTATTTTTTTATTTCATTGTCATTTTTGGATTCAGCGCACCAAAATTAACAAAGAAGTGCACTTTTCCCACAAGATACAATTAAAAAACTAAAATTTGTTGTCCAGTGATCTGTCGGCGACTTTATATGTAGTCCAGGTTAGTTAAAAAAAGGTGAACAAAAGTTTTGCAGATATCGGAAAGTTTTAAGTGGAAGGGGGTAGGGGCAGTGCCAAATACATAAAAAGATATAGCCAGATGTGCGTTGTTTTTTATCAACAATGGGAAAAGCCCAAAATTCAGTATCTTGCTTGTATAATTTTCAAATTATATTTCATAAATAATCGGTAAACTAGAGATTTTAGAGCATAAAAAGACCATTAACTTTATTTTTTTAAGAATTAAAATCGATAAACAATTAAGCTAAATACGTGACTTTTGAGCAATATTGAATAAATGTTTATAGCTATTGCAATAACAATTGTAAATCGCTAAAAAAAATGTGAGAATGTGGGCATAATTGGAGTTAATAACTGTGCTAAATTTCATCTGTATCGGTTTTGATAGATTATGTAAAAAGCTAATAGTTTAACCTAGAGAGAGAATTATCTAAACAGCTGCCCAAGATAGGGTTCTAGAATATTTTAAAAAAGTGAAATAGATTCTCAATTTATGCAAAAAATTAATTATTTATTACAAAACTGTGGTTAAAAATGATGTTCAAAAATAGACATTTTTATAGTTATAAACAACAACAAGCTAAGATATAAATTTAACAAAAAATCACATCTTTACAGACATTAAGACTCGAAATTTTTCACAGATTTCAAGCTACGATCTCAATTTTATGATCCATTTTATAATTTTACTATTAGTTCAAAGGTCTTTATACTATGGACAGTTTAATACCAGACGATACTATCAAACAAATTTCTTGCAAATGTACTACTGGTTTCCAGAAACAGGTAGGTGTAGTTACAAAAAACATGGGTTAAATTGCACACCTTTGTGCAAAATTATAATGATGGTGATGATGACACAAAATGCTACAACCTTGCTGTAATTGGACTCGACGATGATAAAAAGCAGACTGAGAAAATCGACGACCTATTTGAAGAAATGAGTTATACAAATATTGGAGCGTCTAAATAAAAGATTTAGAACGGAGGATCAAGATTGATTAAATAATAAAATATTATAATAAAAAAATACATTATATAATATTATTATAACACAAAGAATGCAAATACAATAAATATAGACAAACGTGAATCAGTATTTTTTACAACTTATTAGAGCGTGTTTTGTTAAGAGTATACCAATTAACTGAATTGTGAATTGTTTAAACAATTTTGTTGTAAAATATAAATTACTTTATTAGAGTGAGAGTAAAAGTAAATGATTAAGTATAATTACGTAAGATTAAGTAAGTAAAAAACGTGTTACATTTTCCGAGATTTCTCGATTTTCCAGGTAAATGAAAATGTACCAGATGTCACTATTTCGACAAGTTAACCCAAATTAAAAAAAGAGAAAGTCCTACGTTGCTTAGAATCCGAAATAATGCAAAATTTTACAGCGCGCTCCGATTTGAAGACTAAACTTCAAAAAATAAATCGAGCTAGAGCTGATTCCCCCACCACCTCACCCGGAAATACTTACGCGAGTACCTTCACTTTAGGAGGCTATTTCTTAAATACCTTGAAGTAATAGTAAAATTATAAATTGGATCATAAAATTGAGATCCTTGCTTAAAATCTGAGAGAATATCGAGTCCTAATGTTTATAAAGACGGAATTAGAAAAAATATATATCTTGGAATATGCGTTTTTAATCACCTATCCAGATCAACTTGTTAAAACAAATTATATTGAAAAATGACGTGGTCATTGTAAATGTTTATAACTATAAAAATGACATTTTTCTCCGCATTTAGCTTACTTGTTTATCGATTATGATTCTTCAAAGATGAAGTTGACTTTTTATGCTCTAAAATCTTCAGTTTACCGATTATTTATAAGATTTAATTTGAAAATTATACAAGCAAAAAACTGAATTTTGAGCATTTCCCATTGTTTAGAAAAAAACAACGCACAATCTGGGTGTATCTTTTTATGTATTTATCATTAGAAACTTTCAGATATCTGCTAAACTTTTTTACAGGAAACCTATTTTTCTTCTCTGTAGCCTGGGCTATTACTAACGTTTTGACTAGTACGAACACAGAACAAACTTCACCGCATAGATTATGGAGATTTGCTTGGTCTTCGAACTCACTTAGAAGACCGCTCTAATTTGCCGAGTATAGTTTACATGAAACAAATGTAGATAGTTTGGAATGGAACAAGCGATTTATAGAACACCGTCATTATTTTCAAGCTGTTGCACATGGCAATAAATAATGTAGGCTCACATGCAGAGTAAATTGCCCGTATGAATTCATTATTTGTGCCTGTAACCAGCGGATCGATAACATGTGGAAAAATGCTAATGAGCCAGTGATAAGAACTGATACGGTGGGCGTACTGGAAAAACAATCAACCTGACATTATCCCAACACTTTTACATTGTTTGCAGATAATTATTACAAGTATGTACTAATTACTACTACATTAAGATGCTCCGATATGTCGAAGTTTGATCGAGTCAGAACAAATAAGACAGAAACACCGAAAGAGTTAACGGTAAAACACAAAAGAAAATGAAAAACTATCTAAAAGCCGGCATTGCCGTAGTTTTATCAACGTTCTGATCAAATCAACAGTCACGTAGGAGAGTCAGATAACCAAATTTATTTTAAAGTTATCTATATTATTTATAAATCCAAAATTAGAAAAACCCGAATGCAATTCTGGATTAATGCAGGCAAGCGTTAAATTCCTGGGTGTAAACAGATTCACACGTTAAACTTATACCCTTTTTGTAGTCAAGGGTTGGAAAGTCGACTAAAAAAAGTTAATTAGTTACAAAACTAAGCGGAGAGTTCCTTCATTCATGTTTAAAATAATATCCACGGAAACAAGAGAGCCATAGGCGATATCGGTGATGCGATACGACACAAAACATTATAAATTTTTATTTTTTGTTTAGGACAACCAATGGATCAGTGCATGTAAATTGCAAATAGTATCAACTTTACTCATACTAAAACATCTGAAACTCATCCCACGATTTTTATGGCGATAGAAATCCACGTTTTCTAGCTGTATTCAATAAATAATTTTCTACAATACATGTAAAATACAGGGTGTCGATATGTAACTGACTGGTTTGTATGTTAAATATTTGTGAAATGAAATAAAATACGCCTTTTT